TGTGTTGCTAAACACTTTATGCTTTCTCGTACCAAACTGATGTGAAACCTAAAATGACTTTGATCAGAAAAGAGGGCATGAAATAAAAGGATTTTGATAGATCCCACTGAATTTGCCAATAACAAATTTTACTATTCCCATTTAACTTTACCAAGCAATATATTTTTATTTTGTAACATAATTTTGGACAATTTTTGATATGCGTCAATCATCTTTGCGAAATGGGAATACTGATTTTCTATATATATATATATATATATATATATCGTTCAAATAAGTAAAAAAAAATATCGTTCAAATTTTATTAGATGTCACCAAAATAAACTAAAATATACAATCAACCAACTATTTCTCATTATCTTTTTTGTTTGTTTATTTAAATGTTACTTTTTGTTTGTTTGTTGCCGAAGTAGTTTTGGAATGTTTTACAAAAAACTAAAAAACTAAATTCTTATTTTGCTGAATAAATCAACGGTAGGCCTTTTACATAGTATTAAAAAATGTTGGATATCTCATATTGTAAAAAACAAAGAAGAAATTATTACAACAAAAATGGATTGAAGAATTTATGAAGTAATTAGCATAACTTTGGTCGGTGCTCAATTCAATTAACAAGCTCTTAATATATAATGCTGGCCATAAATTGCGTCTTTTAGCTCTTAAACATAGTCAAACGTTAATTTCTTTTTTAATAAAGCAAAATACGTGTCAAAGTCAAACTAACTAAAATTAGATGTTCTCAATTTCTCATATACAATCCTTTTTTAATTATGAAACTTATATTGCATCAAATATTATATTTGCAAAAAAAGCCCATAAATAAATGATAGTATAACAAAAACATTCGATATCATAAATTCATCACATACTTTATAGTAATTATTAGATCTCCGAATAATAATAATCGGTTGCTAAAGATGTCCTCCACAAAATTCGGCAAGAAAAAGACCAAAACCAAATCTCTTAAAGGGTCAATTTCGTAAATTTACACAAAATTTCATGACCATATGGTCCATATATTAACAAAAAAAAATCAGGCGAGAAAAATTCCAAAAAATCAATAATTTAATCACTTTCCATAGTTTACAGACAAAACAGAGCTTGCTTACGTGTTCTCCAAAATTTGTATATTTCACAAAACCAGTACCTCAACTAGATCCATCTCTAGGTTTCTTAAAGTTTCCAACTTTTTCATTGATTCTGGCAATTTTTTGTTTTTTTGGGTTAAATCTGGTTTGAAAATTCGGTGAGAGAGATGGGTAAAGTGGCTGTTGCTACGACGGTTGTGTGTTCAGTGGCGGTTTGTGCGGCGGCGGCGTTGATAGTACGGCGGCGAATGAAAAGCTCAGGGAAATGGGCAAGAGTGATAGAGATATTGAAAGCGTTTGAAGAAGATTGTGCAACGCCAATTGCGAAATTGAGACAAGTGGCTGATGCTATGACTGTTGAGATGCATGCTGGTCTTGCTTCTGAAGGTGGAAGCAAGCTTAAGATGCTTATTAGCTACGTTGATAATCTTCCTTCTGGGTAACCTTTCTTTTTTCCTTTATTTTGTGAATTTGGATGAAGCTGAGATTTTTATGGGATTTATCTGAATTCAGATTTTTTAAAAAGCTAATTTTTTTTTGTTTTTTTGGATAATGTCATCTGAGAAAGTTTCTTGCTTTATGATTTATTTGGATTTCGATTTAAAAATTTGAGATTTTTGTGGGATTTTATCTGAATTCAGATTTAAAAATGGATAAATCATTGCACGTTTATTCAATTTTGTCTTTTTTTTTGGATAATGTTATGAGTTTAATCTGAGAGAGTTTCATGCTTAATGATTCATTTGGAATTCCATTTTGATTGTTTGATTGTCACTAAGAGAATCCATGGAATCTCTCTTGAAGTTGGGAATCTTGTGAAAATTGTCATGCCAAAGTCAATAGAATCAGAGCACAACATTTATATGTCACAGAACATAGTTGATATAACTTTTGATGTCTCACTGTTTCAAAGCTTGGCTTCTATTAATACTTTCATGGATTTTAAAGAGTTTTTTTGTTACCTTTTCTTTGTCATGTTCTTTGTAGGAGCCCATATGTCTTTGTAAGAGGATTTAGTGGAACTTTTTTGGGTGAATTATGAGTGTACTTTTACTGTGTAGTTGTTTGTTTTTGGGTTCTGATGCTAATTACGTTGTAAAATTTGACAGGGATGAAACTGGTTTCTTTTATGCATTGGATCTAGGAGGAACAAACTTCCGTGTAATGCGTGTGCTTCTTGGTGGGAAACAAGACCGTGTTGTTAAAAGAGAATTCAAAGAAGAATCAATTCCTCCTAATTTGATGACCGGGAAATCACATGTCAGTTTTCTCACTAAACTTATTCCCTTATTGTTATGCCTAGTCTTGGTTGATTGATCTATATCATTGTGTATTGATTATATTTTGGCAGGAATTATTCGATTTTATCGTTGACGTTCTTGCCAAGTTTGTCGCTACAGAAGGCAAGGACTTTCATCTCCCACCGGGTAGACAAAGGGAATTAGGTTTCACTTTCTCATTTCCGGTTAAGCAGATATCTTTGTCCGCTGGCACTCTCATCAACTGGACAAAGGGCTTTTCCATTGATGATACAGTTGAGCTTGATTTCTCTTCATCTATTTCAGTTTTTTATTACACCAGCTACTATGCTTCCTTCCTCTAGACTCCAATTTTTCATGAACCCTGTTTTGTTGTAGCTAAGAAATTTACAGGCTTTGGTTTTGTCGATATGAAGACGTGTTTTTGATATGAGTATGCTATTTCTGAAAGCCTGGCCTCTGTATCTTGGCGATTGTGTAGGTTGATAAAGATGTTGTTGGAGAACTTGTTAAAGCTATGGAAAGAGTTGGGCTGGACATGCGTGTTGCAGCGCTTGTGAGTTTTGCTCCTACCCAATCTTTGTTTCAGCATGCATTAGTTTGTGTCATCTATTTGATTATGATCCTTTCCCTTTGTAAACTTTACAGGTTAATGATACTATTGGAACACTCGCGGGTGGTAGATACACTAACCCGGATGTCGTTGTCGCTGTTATTTTGGGCACCGGCACAAATGCAGCATATGTCGAACGTGCACATGCAATTCCCAAATGGCATGGTTTGCTTCCCAAATCAGGAGAAATGGTTTGTGTTTTTGCAAAACATAACAACTCCAGTTGAGCTTTGAAGTATTTGCATCTTATAGTCTGTACTGCAATGTAGGTGATCAACATGGAGTGGGGAAACTTCAGGTCATCGCATCTTCCATTGACAGAGTACGACCACTCGCTAGATTTGGATAGTTTGAATCCTGGTGAACAGGTATGAGCTTTGAAGTTATGCTGTTTTTTCAAGTTTCATTCAAAGAATCATCATCATGACCATAAGATTCTATCTGGCTATTTTTGTTTTCTTCAGATTCTTGAGAAAATAATTTCCGGAATGTATCTGGGAGAAATCTTGCGTAGAGTTCTTCTGAAAATGGCTGAAGAAGCTGCTTTCTTTGGCGACATCGTCCCACCCAAGCTGAAAATACCATTCATCTTAAGGTTCATTAGTTTCTTAGTCGTCATGATTACTTGCCATCGAATCAAAAAGTCTAATAATTACTTTTACGGTATGCAGGACCCCGAACATGTCTGCTATGCACAGCGATACTTCCCCGGATTTGAAGGTTGTAGGAAGCAAGTTAAAAGATATATTGGAGGTTAGACTCTTTCATCTACATAATAGTTTCACACTTAAACGTATAACTGAAATCTCAAAAGAGTTTATTTGGTGAACTCTCAGGTCCCGAATAGTTCTCTGAAGATGAGAAAAGTTGTGATCAGCCTCTGTAACATCATCGCAAGCCGAGGAGCTCGTTTATCTGCTGCAGGGATCTATGGAATCCTCAAGAAAATAGGAAGAGACGCAACAAAAGATGGAGAAGCTCAGAAATCTGTAATAGCAATGGACGGTGGGCTATTCGAGCACTACACTCAGTTCAGTGAGTCGATGAAGAGTTCATTGAAAGAGTTGCTTGGAGATGAAGTTTCAGAGAGTGTTGAAGTGATACTATCGAATGATGGTTCAGGTGTTGGAGCTGCATTACTTGCTGCTTCTCATTCTCAGTATCTCGAACTTGAAGATGACTTTGAAACAAGTTAATTTTAAAGCCTTTTTTTTTGTGTTATAACCTTCTTTGTTTGCCATTAGGGTTTAAACAAATAAAAAAGAAGAAGGTAAAATGCCCTTTTGGGGAAATTTTATTTTTGTCAATTTTCAAGAACAATAAAACCTGGATTCTGGGAATTCAAAATCAGCTGCCAATGTTGTAGAACTATATATATTCGAGTTCAATTTTATCTTTATATACATGTTCATTTTTTTCTTCCCAAAACAGAAATCTAAGGGGTTCAATGGTTTTGCTTATTTTAATTGATTTGTAATTCACTGAGTAACCATATGATCCTAATGGTTACACGAACAAAAATGTTGGGGTGATTATTAACTACGGACCAAAATTTCTTGTTCTTGGTCCAAGAGGCTAGCTCAAGCCTTGAAGAGGTAACTTGTATTTTGCTGTGTGTTGGTTCCACGATCATGAATATCTCATTTTAGATATGATGGATCAGTTCACATCAATCATGCAACAGAAGTTCTTATCGGGAGAAGATCATCAACATTTGGATTATACAAAGATATACAATGACAAGACTCTTGATGATCATTGGCTTCGAGAGATTGGCCCGGTCCGACCGGTTAACCCACGACCCGAACACTTTTCCGGTTTGGGTTTAGTGCCAATATCCGCCATTTTAAAAACCCACAAAAACCCGCCATTAACCCGCGACCCAGTGAACCGGTTGGGTATGGGTTTTCAAAATATCATTTGATTTTGGAATAAAATATACTCCCTCTGTATTCGTTTTGTTGTCGTTCTACACATTTTTTCTTGTTAATTATTAGATGTCGTTTACACATCCCAATTCAACTTTTACCTAAAACTTCCTAAATTAACCTCAATTAATTGAGTCAAAAGAAAATCATTAACGTATTACCAAGACTGAATTACAAGTATGAATAGTCAAAACAATTAATTGGTCAACACAGCAAAAATCCCAGAGTCATCGATCTCTTCCTCCACCGCCGCAACATCAACGGAATCAGATGTATACGGAGCCTCCTCCGCCGATCCATCGCTCCCAACTTTTTCCTCGTTCCCTACTTTTCTCTTCGAAAGCACATCTTGGAGATTCAAAACAAGCGCGGCAGATAAACCACTGTTCTTCGAGGTCATCGTAGACAAAGAGAGAAGAAACGCAGATTGATTTGGGTTTGTGTTGAATAGTCGGAGCTCCGGTTTAACAATTCCGGCGACTTCAAAGATCCTTCTCTCTCTCTCACTCCTCAGCTCTTCGAGCTTCCCAAAAGTGAAAAAAAAGTGAGAAGATAAAGATTCAAAAAGAAGAAGAAGAAGAAGAAGAAGAAGATAAAGTAAGAATCAAAACGAATCGAAAACAGATGACAAATCTATGGTCAACATTTTTTCTAGCTCTCTACGGAACCAAAGACAAAACTTTAATTTATGTCGGCAAAATAAAAAGTTAAAGGAGTAGTTGTTTAGTTGAGGTTAAATAAGACATTTTACACTTTTTCTTAATATGTGTGATTATAGTTAGAACGACAACAAAACGAATACAGAGGGAGTAGAGTTTTAGACTCTATTCAGTCATTTTTAGAATTTTTTTTAGATTTTAGACTCATTTGTTGTTTTAGATTTTAATGAAACTTCACAGTGCCGTCTAAGAAGAATGAATGGAATGGTGAGAGAAATAACCGAGATTAGTTTTTTTGAATTTGCGATGTTTTATTAGTTTATTTCTGTCATTCGCGATCTCATACTATTTTAATATTTGTTACGGTTTTAGACTTTTAAGTTGGATTTAAAATTTAATTTGAATCACTTTATTATTATTGTTAGACTTCATATTTTGTAATATATTAAGAATATTTTTTATTTTTATATTTATAAAAACTAAATAATCTTTATAAATATTAAATATATTAAATAAAATTTTAATCAATTGACCCGTGGTCGAACCCGGTTGACCTAGTGACCCGGTGACCCAGAAGGTAGTCTGGTTCACTGTCTGGGTCGGGTTTAAAAACACTGGGTTTGCTCTTCATCTCAGGTCTTGGCTTGCAAAGGTCTCAGTGGTGGCTAGCTTCACCTCCGACAGTGGAGGTGTTTGTAACACCCGCGTCCCGCGATCCTAAAGGGGCCGGTTTGTTTTAGGGAAAACTAGATCATGGTCGAGAAAGACCAATGAATAAGTAAATCCAAGGAAGGAATGAAACGTTTAAGTCATGAAAAGGGTAGATGACTTAGACGACATCGGGATAATCTAGTGATCATGGAGAAATGATCATGGAAAGATTGGGAATGGCGTAGTCAAGGCCGAGAAAACGGACCGAAAGACTTAGCCGGAAAGAACGTGGAAGAACGATCGAGCTAAACCAGCTAGGTGAGCTGAACAAGCTGGATGAACTAGCTAGCTCAGCTAGGTGAGCTAAACCAGCTGGAGGACTAGCTAGCTCAGCTAGGTGAGCTGACCGGCAGCTCAACCGAGCTCGGTGAACTGATCGAGTACTGACCCAGCTGGGTGGTCCGGTCAGCTGACACTCGAGCTGGTGGACTGTGGTAGCTCGGGATGAAGAGGTGTAAGGTCGAGCGGTTACCGACGAACGGTTACCGTTGGCCAAAGGGTGGATAAGGCCGAATGGTTACGATCGCAAAGACGCAACCTTTCGAAAGGGTGCAACGAACGGATGTGATGTTTCGGAAACACACCCATTCGCTCCCTATATAAGGGAGGACGTCCACACACTTCATAATCACCAACATAATCCGAAAATGGTCCTAAACACACCACGAAGTTGTTGAACGGAAAGGGGGTGCGGCTCGGCGAGTATCTCCGGAATCGGAATGGATTCTCGGAGCCTCGACCGAACTGATGCGCATGCTACCTCCCGATCCAACGGTTCGAGGGAATGTAAGGGATGGATGGATTGATCGGACCGATCGTCGGAGAGACGGATCGGAACGGATGGATCGTTCGTCGGAGAGACGGGACGGATCAGGTAAGATGGTCGGGTCGACCGAATGATCAGATCATGGTATCGATCGATGGATCGGATCGATGGAACGACAATTCGATCAAGGAGTTGGATAGACGGAGAGTTCGACGACTTGATTGATGGTTCGGATCGATAGCTCGATTATAGGATCGATGGATCGTCCATTCTATGAATCATATCGTCGAGGGAAGGACACGAAAAGGAAATGGATCGGCAAATCTAAGATTGTCAATATGGAAGTATTGACGAATCCAAAGATAGACCGATAGATGATATGGTTAACGGGAAGTTAATCGGGAAGGCGTATAAGGGAAAGATGTTCGAGGAGGCACGAGGATAAGTGCAACCGAAAACACCCAAGGGTCGCCCATAGATACAATCTCACCGAGAAAGAGAGAAAACATCGTGAATGGGTAAGGCACGTGGTTCTCCATGTAAGGATCAAATATCGCGGCCGCCTTTATGAATCAAACGTCGTAGCCTTGGTGAAACCGATCGGAAATCGGTAAGACCAATGGTGACTCGACGGATAACCAACGGGAAAGTCTACGGTGAGAACCGAGGGACAAAACGGATGTTGGACCCGCGAGCGAACCAATGGCCGACGGACGAATGATTTCATGGGCTAGCCTACGATAATCCGATGGATGAATCCACGGACCCTTGGGTGTGATAATGATATTGTTCGGAACGCATGGATGGATCGATAAGCCGAAGGCTTTACGGCCACCATGGACCGGACGGGTAAACGGTTAATAAACCGTGGTCGGTCGTAGTGATAAACGACCGGATCGGAAACATGGATGGTTCGTTAAGCCGAGGGCTTGATCGTCCACCATGAAACCGAAGGGGCGTACGTTTGGAGGACGGATGGACCAATAAGCCAAGAGCTTGATTCGGCCACCGTGAACCAAGGGAAATGTACGATCCCCAATCTCTATCGGGAGACTTAGACCAGTGGGGTTGGTTGGATGTATGGCTATGTAACGATAGAGATTGGTCCATCAATACACGATTGGTTAGGAATCGTTGTATGAACGGAATAAAGCAACAAAAAGGGCTAAGGGAAGGATCAATGGACGGATTGATGAGGAATCAAATCCGCATGTTGGCCAAGGTATGTAAACGAATCTAACTTATTAGTTAAGCTGGCCGTTTGAGAATTGGCCGTTGGATTAAGGATAAAAGAATATGCAATCGTTAGACTTAGAATGGTTAGCGAACAAATTGCATGACTTGGCCGAGTAAATGATTGATCTAAAGTCTAAGGGACAAAGCCGATCAAACCGGTACAAGGGATGGTTGGAATTAGTCCAAGGGTAGAAAGACTTCCGCTGGGTAATAAGAAAGTGATTATAGAATTAAGCCTCGTAAAGGCAATTCTAAGTTAAAATGCGAAAAATATAGAGGTTTGGCCGGGAAGAGGCACGAACGTGTGACCATACCATGGCCGCCGGACGCCGAGACGTCCGGGACGGGGTCTCACAGTGTTGCCCTTCTTCCTCTAGATGCAGCAGTTGCTCTGTTGTGGTGGGCGTGAGGACGATTGGTAGAGGCATGGTCAAGGACGCCAGTGTTCTCGTCGAGGTTTCTTCACGACTCAACCACTGGAATGGGTACGGTTGCTGCGGCGGAAGTCTGTGGAAGAGTGGTGGGTCTTGCTCCTGGTTTCGATGGTTAACTGATGGACCCCTGGGATCCTGATGGCTTTCATGGGTTTACAATTTTTGAGCCGTAAACCCAGTTTGGAGAACTCGATGGTCGCTCTGAGTGTGTTGGATTGCTTGGTGTGGGATCCAACATCGTAGAGCCGTATCTTCGGAGTCTTGAGCAATCGTGAGATTTGTAATGGGTCAGATAGTTCACCGAAGTGGAGACGGGGATGGATTCCGAAAGCGTACATCCTTGTTTCTGTTTCAGGGGATTTGTCGCAAAGTTGTGGTTCTCGCTTTCGCCGGATTGTTGCTTGGGATTCTGCGATCGGTCGTTCAGCAAGATCAGATCCATCTTCTGTTGACGGACCAGATTTTTTAGGTTTTCCCTTTTTGTAACTGTTACTCTTTGAAAGCCCAAGACTAAAGCCCATTTACGAGAAACCCATTAATATATAATTATTTTAACGAAAAAAAAAAAGAAAAAAAAAAAATAATGGCTTTGAATGGTAACGCATTATCAAAGCGGTACAGAGTATACAGCTTTGACAGTTACCAATCACAAAAGCTTTATCAAAAGCGTTACTAACAGTTTTACTCTCAACTTTTTTGTACAGTTTTTTTGTACAACTTTTTTGTACAGCTTTTTCTTACAGTTTTGCACTATTCCGATAAAGCTTACAGCTCCAGCTAACAGCTAAAAAACTTGTACAACTTTTGGTTACCAATTAGACCCAATGTAATCTTGGCAAAAAAATAAAAATAAACAAGATTACAATTCGATTTAGGCAAAACTAAAGTCAACAATCACTGAAGCCAAAGGAGCATCAACTTGCGAAAACGCTTCCGGAGGCATCCAAGGACTAGAGACTAGCACTCTAGTGATATTACCTGATTAAAATTGAAGGAAAGGGCTTTCGCTTGCATTTTAGTGTGAAAACCTTGGCTACTTCAAGGTTCGTTGTGTTTGTTTTTGTTGGATGAAGAAATTTGGGATCACCAACCAATCTAGCAATAGGCTCCAAATCGTCTTCTTTGAAAAATTATAGATGAACATTCCGAAGTTCTAACCAAATCGGCGCAAATGGTAGCTCTGGTTTTGCCAGAACAACTCTTGGCTCCGAAACCGACAACGGCTTAGGGGTTCCGAAAGAAGTCACTTTACTCTTTTGAGGGAGAAAAGCGTGTTTTTCGAGGTTTTTGCTAAACAAGCGAATTTTTACCATGCATTAAGTTGCAGACAATATAACGATATCAAAGGAAATAAAGGATATTTAAGCAAGACATATGGATGAAAATAATATGTTTGGCAAAGAGTATAGCAAGTAAGCAATTAACGAATTCTAAGAAAAAAGTTCAAATCAAATAAATTTATCCCACAAAACTAAATTAAGCCTATAAAAACTAAAAGGTAGATGAAAATTTTCAGAAGTGAGAATATAAAGACAATGAGAAAAACAAGGAGGTAAAGTCAAAGACTAAAAATTAGATATATAATGTGTCTTTTAGTTTTATTTTATTTTTCCTAATTTAATAGTTTAACTAGGCTAAC